GGTCTGGTTGCATCCATGTGGCTTGTCTTCTGCAGTGTCTCCCAGGGAGTAGTAGAGAGAGGTGTCTTCTGTCTCCAAGGAGGAAGTACCAGAGTTCCCAGAATTCTCAGGAGAAGGCCATGCCCACACAGAAGTCTCACTGGCTATCTCCAGATTGACACCCTAGACTCCACCTGTACACTCTTAATCCTTAAATTGACACCAGATTAGGTGACTACCACAGGACACCTGCACCGGGTGCCTGTAGTGTGGGAAGCACAGTTCTAAGATCATTCCCTCTACAAACGGAAGAACACCCACATGTATACATACATATGTTCATGCACACACACACTCATTTCTATCTTCAAAACAACTTTGTCATCATTCTCAGTTTACAGATGAAGAAAGTGGGGCTCAGAGACATTAAAAAAAAGAAAGCATGTTCAAAGTTTCCCCTAAAGCTTGTCGGGCTCTCCACTGCTTCCCAGGACGCATCCAGGAGGCAAGCCTCCTGGGCAGGTGAAGTCTTCCTCAGGTGTACAGGGCTCTAAGGAGGGGGAGCTGGATCCCAGACCCGGAGCCCTGACACCTCCCCTGTCCCCCCATGTAGTTCAACAACCTGGGGCAACAGAGCCCTTCCATCAGCGTGGTCTTCTCTGTCCCCATCCTGCTGAACCAGGTGACCGTGTTGGAAGACCTCCAGTTTACCTTCTCTCAGGTAATCCCAGTTGGGCTTGAGAGGGAGTGACCCCAACTCCTCCCTTCCTTGCTCTGAAGGACTCTGTCCTCAACATTGGTTCCCCCTGCTCTGGGGGACTTTGGGACCCTCACCTGGACCCAGGCCATCTTGTCCCTCCCTCCTGGGTGACGGATCCAGGAGTTCTGGTCACTGTCTTTTCTCAGCATGTCTGTCTTTCCTCAGAATGTAAACCAGTCATGCCACACTGAGAACATAGCTCCTCCGAACCCCGACTTTCTGCCTGAGATTAAGAAGACCTCGGTGCTGGTGAGCTGCACACGCTCGAGTTCCAGCCCAATAGGGCGTCACTGTGTCCCGGGCTGAGTGCATGGGGAGGCTTTCTGCATGGCCAGCCGTCTCCCTTTTCTCCTACCCTTCCCAGAACTGCTCCACTGCACTCTGCAGGAGAATCCGGTGTGACGTCCCATCCTTCAGCAGCCAGAAACAGTTCACGGTCACCCTCAAAGGCAACCTCATGTTTGATTGGTTCATCAAGGTGCGCGGGGTCTTGGGGCTCAGTGGGATGCAAACGTGACACTCCGGGGCCCTCGGGCTCAGCTCCCACACCACTCTCTCCCACAGACTTCTAATAAGTACGTCCTGGTTGCGACCACAGCAGAGATCCTGTTCAACACTTCCCAGTTTGCCGTGATTCCAGGACAAGGGGCATTCGTGAGGACCCAGGTATCTGCTGGGGCACAAAGGGATTGTGGGAGGGAGGAGAGGACACTGCTTCTGGAGACCTCTGGGTAAAGAGAATGAGAGAGAGAGAGAGAGAGAGAGAGAGAGAGAGAGAGAGAGAGAGAGGACAAAAAGGAAAGAAGTGGGGAGGAGTGAGAACCAGGGTTGGGAGAATAGTGGGGAGTCCAGGGAAGGTTCAAAGTCTAATTGGGGAAACCACCAGGAACCCCCAATCCAGCTCTTCTGATGCTCCTGTCCCCAACTTTGTCGCACAGGCAGAGACCAAAGTGGAGATGTACGAGGTTCACGACCCCATACCCCTCATCGTGGGCAGCTCCGTTGGGGGGCTGGTGCTTCTGGCCCTCATCACGGCAGTCCTGTACAAGGTATTTCTTGCTGTGTCTCTTTGGGCCTCCTCTCTCCCTCTTCCTGCTTCTCCACTGCTCCTCTCTAAAAGGGGGTGCTCGGGGGCTGCGTTGCGTGGTTTGATCCCCAGCAGTGAAGACAACTGGGAAACTCCAGAGTCTAGTCCTCAGAGTCTTTGGCTGTCAAACGAGAATAGATCTTCACCCAGTGGGATGGTGTGAAAGCAGGTGGGCTCAGATACGGAGAGCACGTGGCATGATCCATGGCAGCGTGTGGCCACTGTCAAAGGAACAGTGGTTGTTCTTATTGGAATTTTGCCTTGGATTCGATGTCTCCCTTTCCTGTTCCAACGATGGATGCTATTTTCCTCTGTGCCCCATTTTTTTCCAGATCCCATCGAGGCAGTACCTCACCATTCTTTGCCTCTCGGTCCTTCTGATTCCGCTCCTGACGTGCATAGCTCTCTCGCACTTCCCCTGGCTTTCGGGGTCCCACTTCCTCTATCCCTAAAACACTTTACCACTGTCCCCACAGCTCGGCTTCTTCAAGCGGCAGTACAAGGACATGATGAGCGAGGGGGCTACTCAAGCACCCGAACCCCAGTAACGGCTCCTACTGAGACACCGCTCCTGCAGGGAGCTGATCTCTGGTCAGCCTGGCGTGTCGGCCCCCAGGCTGCTGGACACCTATATCCCCGAGGAGACTGGGGCGATGACAGCTCACCCAGAAAGGACCGGCTGGGGTTTTCATTTGCGTGTCTGTGTGTCCGTGTGTGTAACTCAGAGGGCTTGTGGTGTAGAGGCAGCCGTCTTCCGCAAAACCTCTCTGGCTGAAGATCATTGCTTGGGTTTTCTTGGGGGTGTGATCGAAGATGCTGTTGGGCCGTCTGGGATGGAGGGGGTGGCAGCTCATTCCGGTGGAAGTCAAAGGAGACGCACGAGATGCTCTTAAAGTTGACAGAGATGGGACCTTCCATCCTGGGCGTATGTGCAGCCCTCCAGCTGCTGGGCTTGAACCTGCTATGAAGCTGTGGGTGGAGCCCACTGCGGTCGTTCTGTAGATGCCTATCCCAACCCACTTGAGCAGATGAGCTTAATAAATATGTCAAATGAAGAATGCTAAAGGTCCCTTTCTCGACTCGCGGTCTTTAGTGTGCTGTTATGTCCACTTGTCGCTTTGCTAGACTCGCCCACATACAAAAATCAGAACCACGCAAGAGCAGATGGTAGAACGCCTCTTCTCTCCCCCTGCCCGCCCACCATTCTAGCCTCTCCTTAAAGCCAGCAGATGTTACGTCGTTTGGGGCTCCCTCAGAAAGGGTTTAGGTCGATGCAAACACAGGTACACACACGTGCCTGCGTACATGAGCACGCACATGGAAGGGGGCTGTCTTTGCACACAAATAGCAGCCCACTTTATTGGTGCTGGCTTGCATTTGGCCTTCTCCTTAACATGACACAGACACTGCTTCTACCCAGACACACACATCGCCCTTTCACTTCTTTATGCAGCTGCACAGTGCTCCCTGGTGCAGGCGGACCGTCACATACTTCCTCAGTCTCCTTTGAGCGTCTTTCCAATCTCTCTCTATGACCAACGATGCCGAGCAGATGCACAGGACGTGCGTGATTCTTGTTGGTGTGTAAGCGAGGTGTGCCGGAGACCGTCTTACAAGCTGGCGTCCGTCCGGCAGCAAACCCTGCAGCTACGATGGGAGCAAAATGAGTTTCTTTCAGAGGAAACGCAAAGCCGGAGGTGCTTCCTGACCTCGGAGCATCCCAGTGGAAGCTTGCAAGTCGTTTCTCGATTCCACGAAGCATGGTTTTCTGGAAGCAACCGACTTCTGTCTTTGGACGGCAGATGGGAATGTAGGTTACTCATGTCTCCTCTGGAAAAAGCTCGCGTGTTATAAGCTGCTCTTACTTTGGGATGGGGGCCAGTCTTCTCCTTCTTTTATACTGTATTGCTGGATGACTTCTGCAAAGGGGTGGCCTTCGTTTTTGTACAAACAAACAAACAAAACCCCTCATGGGCCATTGCTCCTGTTGCAAGGTTCTGATTTATTTCACAAGGCAAGCTTACTAGCATGTTTGCAGTTAGCTGTAATTGACTGGCTTTAAAATGTTGCCTTTGGGAACAGTTTCTTCTAATAAAAGATCTATCTATCTATCAATCATCTATATACCTATCTATCTATCAATCATCTCTCTAACTATCGAAAGAAGGAGGAATGAGCTGGAGGATGGAAGGAGCCAGAAACGGGCGTGCTATCAACATGGTCGCGATTCTGGGTCTCCCCGAGATTAAATTCTACTGGGGAGTTCTGGGTGACAGCGGAGAACACACTCCTGAGTGGTATCCCACCAGGGAGAAGGAACAGAAGCATTTATAGATGCATCACACATCGTTAGAGATTGAATGCTTGGAGGGCATTCACTCCCTGACACTTCTGTCTGTCCTGGGTGTCGGCAGTGCAGGCTCTGGTGGCCAGAGAGGTGTCTGCCAGCTGAGCCCAGTCCTGGCAAGGCCCATGGGGACGTGGGCGGTACACGGAGAGCATCTGTTCCAAAGGGTTTGTGCATGTCCTTTGGACAGTTATAGCCAACTCGCCCTCCTTCACGAGAGGGAGAGGTTAGAGGGCGAGGGGATGAGTGCTTGTCCTTCATCCTGCTCCCAGTGCACCCTCATTCTCCCACCCTCCCGCATTTCATTCTTACCAAACTTTCACAGAGAAGAGAGCCGAGGCCGTACCCACAGGTCATGCCAATCGCCCGAGGTCAGACAGATCAAAGGGGCCGGCCCTGGGATTCTCTGCCTGGCCCCTGCTCTGCTGGTCACCTTAGGTAAATGGCAGCAGGCTTGAGGGAAGGTGTGGGCACAGAGAGGGCCACATTTGGCTGGCATGGCATTATTGAGCCATGGGAAATTGCCTGCACACAATCTGTTATTTGGATAAAGGAAAACAAACCAAACCAAACCCCATTTCATGTGGTTCATCTAACCAAAAAAACCAAAACGATTTAGACCAGGGGCTGGCCAACTGCAGCTGCGGCTCTCTCGGTCTGTACAGCTGACCCTGAAGTAAACTTGAAAATAAGACTGTCATCATTTCAGTTATCAACAGTTTTAAGGGATGTTATTCAGATAATGGTGATGTCATTTGTTTAAAACATAAAAGTATGGCTCTCGAATTAACTTTTAAATTGTTGTGAGGGACCGGATTGGCTTGTCGGTCTCCAAAATTTGCCCATCTCTGATTTTAACAAACTAAAATCAAGTGAAACTTACTGCTATTGAGTCAATGCCAACTACAGGACCCTACGGGACAGGATAGAACTGCCGCTGTGGGTTTCTGAGTCTGGAGCTCTGCACGGGAGCAGAAAGCCTCCTCTTTCCACCAAGGAGCCACTGGTGGTTTTGAACTACTGACCTTACAGCTAGCAGCCCAACATGTAACCACTACACCATTAGGGCTCCTATTGTTTAGTCTGTTCCAAAGATGATAAGAAGGAGGGCGTAATCTCCCCCAGGGGATTCCTGGCTCAAGTAGGGGCACGGTTTGCCAGGGTTAGGGTGGCACAGGGTGAGGCTAGAGGAGTGGCAGAGCTTGGGCAGATGTGCTTTCTAAGTCCAAGGATGGATTTTCATTGGATACCAAGGGCCATTAGATCTACTGAAGCGTGTCGAAGGAGACCATAGCCCTTGGCGTCCTTGGGCACAGCACACATCCTCCTTGGTAGAAGGGTTCATGTGATTTCCCTTCCTGACTTAAAAATGAAACGCTGGTTTTAAAAAAAAAATCAACTTTCTCTAAAGTACAATGTCCCCGACGTGACTCTGACCCAACGTAAATATTGGGTAACCCAACCGAAAGGTTACCTATGTAAAACGCACCCAGGTGAAGTGCACATTTTTGATGGCTATTCACGCATCGAGGCACCAAGCAAGGACAACATCAGAACACACAGGACTTCTGTCCCTCTGTCTTTCAGTGTCACTGTCCTTTGCTGACCTGGACTCTGTTCCAGGCAGTCTCCACTGCTCCCATCAGCAGCTCCAGGGAACGATTGCCTGCTGCGTCCGGGGGTTAACCTTCTCTTGCGAAAAGTTTTCTGTACATAAAAAGTACTTCTTCTTTAACTCAAAAGCTGAGCGTCCTCAGAATCTCTAGAGGTCTTTTTTTGACCCAGGAAGAGAGAGGGTCTTTGTACCAACAGCCGCCTGTCCTGCAGACTCGGAGTCCATAGGTAGAGACTTTGATCCTTGTGTTGAACTGGCGTTTTATGCTGGATTACAAACGTAAATAAATTCAAGGAGTGAATTAACGTAGCTGCGCCAGAGTTACTCACCAACAAGGCTGGCTCTCTCTCTCTCTCTCTCTCTCTCTCTCTCTCTCTCTCTCTCGCTCTCTCTCTCTCTCTCCCTCTCTCTCTCTCTCTCTCGGATGAGAACCAGCCGATCCCAGGGAAGTGTAGCCTTGTTTTTCTGATCTAGAGTCTTATTTCAGGGAGGTGGGGGGGAGATCAAGGAAGGTCTTGACTCAATGGCAATGGATCTATCCCTTCAAGATGCATTCTCTTCCTGTGAACAGAATTCTTATTGGCCATGTGGTAGGTGGATTTCTATAATAATGACTCCCAGGGAATTGTGCCCCCCGGGGTCCTGCTACTTTGCACTTGACATTGCTGCCCCTCCTATCTGGTTGTTGTTCTTGTAGTCAGGGGCTAGCGAGTCGGTTCCGACCCATAGCCAACCTGTGCACAGCAGAAAGAAACACTGCCCAGTTCTGCGCCCTCCTCACCGTGGTTC